AATAAATATAGTTTAAAAAAACTAAAAAACACGCTTTTAAAGCACATCGAACTAAAAAGTTAAAAATAATTTTTAAAATTAACTTAAAACAATAATGAACGAAAAATACTAGTATTATTGTGAAAAAAAGCGTGGGTGCTTTATGCCATATTTTTTGTATATTGAGAGCCCGACACTTTTTTTCAAAATAATACTAGTATTTTTTGTTCATTAATGTTTTAAGTTAATTTTAAAAATTATTTTTAACTTTTTAGTTCGATGTGCTTTAAAAGCGTGTTTTTTAGTTTTTTTAAACTATATTTATTATATAGTATTTTATCTATTCTGTAACATGTGTTCTCATAATGATAACTTACAATTTTGCCGCCAAATTACTCTTCTTTCATTACTTTTGATAATGCTTTGTATTTCATAACAATTCATATGCAATGTAATTGTTTTACATTTACGCACCAAAATACGAGTTATTATTGTTTCTGAAAATCATCTAAATGAAAGCTATGATTTGTTTAAGTATAAGTGTATGATTACGTACTATTATTCATCAAAGTAAATTTTCCAGTGTGTCTTTTTTATTTTTTGAGTATTTAATATGTATGGTGACATTAAAAACTAAAATACTCTGCATATCAGAAATTAAATTTATAGTTGTAAGCTAAGAAATTATCTATTTAATCAATCAAGTGACTGTGTAAGTAATATTCTTATGTTTATATTGACGTCTTGTGACCAATACTCATTTAAAAAGAGATTAAATAAGGATACAATAGGATGAATTATTTTCTGATCTTGTGCCATCAAAAATGAAATATTGAATGTTGTTGAGCTTATTCCATAATGATATCTATATTATTGCATTATTTTTAAGTTTTTCTATATGTAAATTAAATGTAATCTATAATCTGAAATTTGTAGAGAAATGGAAAATGATGGTAGAAATATAAGCTGTTCAAATAATTTGCTAGCAGACATAAAAAAAGTAAAATTTTCATCAGAAGAAAATAATCAAGTAAGTTTTTTCATAATTCTATTGATTTTGATGCTACATATTTATAATGTTAAAATAATGTATATACAGGATAATCAGTGAAAGATTATTCTACAAACTATGATCTCATATTTCCTTATTTCTGTCCTAATCACAAGTTTTATAATTTATAAGTGTAATATATGAATATTTATATATTTATAAAATTTAAAGGAAATGGTTTTATTTGAATAAAAGTATGTCAAATGAAAGAGGTATATAAATATTATTTCTCATAAAAAAATTGTATTGATCCATGTATTTTTTAAAAGTTATTTCAAAAAATGGTAGCACAGTGGTGACATGGCATAGTTGGATTAAATATAATGATATCTGACAGTGATTAAAATCACTATCTTAAAAAAACGCTGCAATACAAATCTTTCGATAGTGTTTAATTTTAAAAAAATTGGTGGATTATTTCAAAAGCCACATGATCTGCTAGTTCCTTATTAATATCCTGATTAAGATAAAGTATGTCGAATGAAAAAGGAATTATAAAAAAATATTATTTTTCATAAAAAAATTGTGTTGATCCATACACTTTTCAATAAGTTATAGCATTATAAAGTTAAAAATATAAAAAAAATTTTTTTTACAAAAATCATTTTTTTTTATTAACTTTGATGTCTATTTTTACTGTGAAGACAGTGAAAAAAATACATTACATAGCTTTAATTTAAGATATATATCAAAGTGTCAGACTTTCCGGAACACTTTNATTTTTTTTTACAAAAATCATTTTTTTTTATTAACTTTGATGTCTATTTTCACTGTGAAGACAGTGAAAAAAATACATTACATAGCTTTAATTTAAGATATATATCAAAGTGTCAGACTTTCCGGAACACTTTCAAAAGTTAAGTTGAAAAAGTTAATTTTTTGTGATAAAGTTATCATTTTAAAACCCCCTGTGGGCAGGTAAAGGGTCAGATTTATAAAAATAATATATCAAATGTTAGGTAAAGATATCAAGCATCTATAAAAAAAATGAATTTTATTGATTTGGTAATTTTTAAAAAAGTTATGATAGTTTTAAGTAAAAAAAAATTGAAAAAATGTGGAAAATTACCGATTTTAAAATATGTAATTTTTTTGGAGATTTACGGGGAACAAAGAAAATTTTTCAATTTTTGAGGCTATTGTCTTCAACTAAATATGATTTGTGATCTTTTGACGTATTGTTGTAAGAAATCGGTATGGTGAGAGCTGAGAAAAAGTGGTAATAGACACAAGAAAACATACCATTTAAATTAAAAATTTTAATTTAATACTTTCTCAGCTTTGCATCGCAGTTAAAAATACTTAATAACAGATAATTTAAGAGTTACATTTACCTAAAAAATACAATATTAAATTCTCAAAATTATCATTATTTTATGAGTTATTGATTGATTTTTGCAAAGAAAACATTTATTTGATACCAAAAACACTTGAATAATATGCAGTTAAATAATTTTTGTTTTCATCCCTTTAAGGATAAAAAACCTAAATTAAAATTTTTCTTTAATAGGATCAATCCTTAATTTTAGTTTAATAATAGGATAGAAATTAAATATCAAACCTTATATTTCTTCTTATATTTTTTTTATCCGATAAACCATTTTTATGTTATTTCATGTTTAAATTCAGCAATTTTTAATCAATTTTCTATTGATAATTTTCTGCGTTGCATACATTATTCATCATTTGTCACTTGTCACCATATAGATATCTTTAAAAACATTATTGAACCATAAAAATAATTGTTCAAATAAATATTTGAAATAAATTATTGTTGCCTCCGGTGTTATGAAAATTAAATGAATGATAAATTTGTATTTGAAATCTAAATATTTATAAGATTTTTAAACGTAAATAGTTGATTGAATAAAAAAAATGATAATAACAAAATTATTTGAAATGTTATTTTTTATAATTTCATCAAACTAAAAATAGGGGTTCCCCCATTAATCCTATCAGGACAGATAGAATGTCTGAGACCCAGCTTGAAAATTTGCTATAAAAATCAAATGGTTAATATTATTGTGTTATCTATCCACTTTAGACATCAGTTACAATAAGTATGTCAAATTAAAATACAAACAAATATATTAAATAAATAATATATTTTAAATAATTACAATTTTTTTTTTTTTTGTGTCTGTTACCACTTTTTCTTAGCTCTCAACAAACAGATTTCTTTCAACAATACGTCAAAAGATCATAAATCGTATCTAGTCGAAGACATTATCCTCAAAATTTGAAAAAAATTTTCCTCGTTCCCCGTAAATGGTGGAAACCTCCAAAAAAATTACAAATTTAAAAATCACTAATTTTCGAAATTTTTTCAATTTTTTTTACTTAAAATTGCCATAACTTTTTTAAAAATGGCTTAATTAATATAATTTTTTTTTCTATAGATGCATGATGTCTTTATCTATCATTTGGTATATTTTTTTTATAAATCTGTCCCTTTACCTGCCAATAGGGGGGGATTTAAAATGACAACTTTTTCACAAAAAATTAATTTTTTCAACTTGATTTTTGAAAATGTTCCGGAAGGTCTGACACTTATATATATATCTTAAATTAAAGCTATTGTAATGTACTTTATTATTGAAAAAAAATTTGACCTCTGGACTTGTCTTCGTGGTGAAAGTTGCTACTGAATGCTATTTTTGTGTGAAAATTCTCAATTTTATATTTTACATTTTTAACTGTATAATACTATAACTTATAGAAAAGTGTATGGTTCAATATAGTTTTTTTATGAGAAATAATATTTTTTAATAATCTATTTAAAGATTTGCATCGAAGCGTATTTTTGATAGTGATTTTAATCACTGTCAGATATAATTATACTTGATCCTACTATGCCACGTCACCACTGTGCTGGGTTTTTTTTATTCTCGAAAGATCAAAAACATTTTTTTGAGGTTTTTTATTTTTTTGTATTAAGTAATATTTTCCTATAAAAAAATTAAAAAATTATATAGTTTCTTAAAAAGTTAATACCTAAATAATTCACTTTATATATATTCTTTTTCTTTATAGAGAACCAAAGAAAATAAAAGTGAGAGTCTAAGCAGTTTGAATGTTTTGAACAGTAAACCACTTTCATCAGTTGAAAATGACCATGTAAGCTATAATTCCTCATGTATAATTCAGTATAATTAAATAAATTATTACTATATAGTAATATCAAGCAGATATCTATAGTTAAAAATAATCAGTAATTTGAAATATTTTTGTAAAAATTTTTATTGATTAAAATATATTCCTTTTTTCATGAGACGTCATTTTTTGATCAATCGCCAAAATTAGTGGGAACTTATGCTATTTATAACTGAATTTATAAACTAAGCAATAAAAATTAGCTTATTTACAAGGGAAAAATTTGCAAAAATTAAATTATAAGAGGATCGAAATACAATACTTTTTTAGGGAAGCTTAATAGTAGTGTGGCAGGTTACTGAGTCAACTGCTTAACAAATATATATTTTAGCTAACAAAACCACATAGATTTAAAATAATTGTTACTTTAATGCAAATGACGTTTATACAACTTCAACCTTTTTATAAATACTGGAATTCGTTCTAAAAAGTACATTTAATATTGAGCGTTATATAACTTTTTCACAAAATAATTATGAATATGTTTATTTTTTGTGTAGATTATCTTATCTTGATATTATACTATTTAATTTAATTTGAATACACAAAAAGCTTGAACTCTCAGTTATTAAATATAATTTTCATTTAAATAGTGTTTCTATTGTATTGCTATACTTTAAGGAATATACTATAAAGATACAGCTAAAAATAAAGATAAAATTTTGGATCATCTTAATAAGTAATATGAAAATTCCTCTGTAGTGTCATTTAAATTAATTACATACAATAATTACATACAATAATTAATATTTTTATATAATTTTTGAATATGAGTATAAAATTTAAGAATATTTAATTAGTTATAGTTGTGCTTTTATTATTGAAAAGTTATTTGATATTTATTTATTTTTTAAAAGATAAGAAATATTTCTGAAAAAGATGGTGATGATATAAATGAGTCAATAAATCTATCATTATATGAAAACTGTGAGCAACTCTCTTCTTTAGAAGATAATTCTGTCAATGTAAGCATATATTTTTTGTCTTGTATTATATTACACATTATTACACTTATATAACATACTTCTTGAATTGAAATTAAATAAAGTAATTTAATGATCTATTTTTAAATAAAATAAAATATTAAGATAATATTATGTATTATCTGTTAATTCAATTTTCTTTTTAAGAGAAATTTTGATTTATTGAAATTAATTGTGAATTAATGTTCTATAGTTTTTTTTTAATTATTATATTAAAGTATGGTAAATTACTTTATAATGTTTCTACATGTTTTAATTCATGTTTTATGGTTATCTTTAAACATATTTATTTTTAAGTTTATCAATTGATTATTTTTTATGCTATTTTAACTACAAATTTTAAGTTCATATATATAGGTTTTACAGAACACAGAAGGAACTATTTCAGAAGAAAAAATTGACAATTTGAGTGAGTCTGAAAATGTTTCTTCAACTAATGATGATAAACAATCACAATTACCTATCAAAAACAATTATCTTGTTAGTTATATAATTTCCAAAATTTTTACATAAAAATATATAGTAATGAATTATTTATTGATTTTGTAGAAGAATAAAAACAAAGTAGATGAGATAAGCAGAGAGACTCAGCGGCTAATTGCTGGTAATGGTCATGTAAGACTTCCATATCATAAACCTAAACAAAAATCATTGAGCGATTTTTTAGATAGGAAAAAACATCTTTTGGCTAACGCCTCAGTTACAGGATCACGAAAAAAACTTCAACGTGCATGGTCAGTATATTTATTTCTAAATTTGAAAATCAAATGTACATATTACTTTGAAATTCTAAATCCGTATTTTAACTCCCTATTAATTGAATTATGCCATGATTACCGTTAAATCTAAAAATTTAAAAATATAGTTTTAAAAATTTAATTTATGTAAAGTATAGTTATGAAGAAGAATGAAATGCTGGAGAAAGAATCCTGGATTTCGCAGTATCGAATGATCTTGCTGTGGTTAATACTTATTTTAGAAAGAGGGAAGAACATTATATAACTTGTAAGAGTAGAAGGAATACATACAAGAGTGTGGAAATTATAGAGGCATAAAGCTTATGAGTCATAGTATGAAAATTTGGGAAAAGGTAATAGATAAGAGAATAAGAAATGAGACATCGATATCTAAAAACCAGTTTGGATTTATGCTTGGTAAGTCAACAATAAATATGTATGATAGCACTTGTACCAGAGTAAAAAGTGTGGGAGGAGTAACAGAATGATTTTGGGTAAGAGTAGGAGTGCACCAAGGTTCTGCTTTAAGCCATTATTTATTCTCTATAATGATGAATGAAATTACTAGAGAAATTTAAGAAGGTGTGCTGTGGTGCATGATGTTTGCTGACGATATAGTGTTAATAGGAGAAAATGAATTGAAGGCTAGAAATGTGGAGATCAGCTCTTGAAGAAAAGAGTTTAAGAAAATAAGTAGGAGTAAGACAGAGTATATAGAATATGAGTTTGACAAAAGGAAAACACAAGGTAGGTGAAATGAGGAGACCAGTGACAATAGGCGAGGACGTGATTGGAGAGGTGGAAAGTGTTAAGTATTTGGGATCAGTTGTGCAAAAAAGCGGTGGTATTGAGAGGATGTTAGACACAGGATTAAGTGTGATTGGTTGAAGTAGAGAGAAGTATCTGGTATCTTATGCAATAAAAGAATTCCAATGAGGCTAAAAGGTAAATTCCACAAGACTAGTGAGAACAGCTATGATGTATGATTCAGAGTGTTGGGTGGTTGATAAGAAAGTAGAGCAAAGAATAAAAATGCTTAGGTGGATGAGTGGAGTGACTAGAGAAGATAGGATAAGGAACAAATATATAAGAGGTAGTATAGGTGTAGCGTCAATCGTGGATAAGATGAGAGAAAATAGATTTAGATGGTTATAGAAATGAATGTTGAAGGAAGAAGAGGTAGAGGAAGACCAAAAAAGAGATGGAGGGAAGTTATTGAAGCGATATGAGAACAGCTGATGTGAGCATTGAGGATGTGGGAGATGTATCAAATGGAAGTTTAGGATAAGGGTGGCCAACCCCTAGAAATTAGGATTAAGGTGAGGAAAAAAAGAAGATAGTTATGAAGACTTGGTAGACAATGAATATCGATTTTAATACTTAAGCCTCTCCATTTTTAATAATTTAATTCTGTACTTAAAAAGTAGAAGAAACTAAATTCATTTATATCACTTTTCAGGAAGAAGCAAAAAATTATTTTTTTCCATAATACTATTAAAACTGCTAATTTAGATCATAAATATTTATAAACATATATTGTGGTATTAAATTGATAATTTTTTCAAAAAAGACATGAAAATTTCCACACAATATAGGTACTAATTCAGGAGGGGCTATACATAATTCCTTAAAAATTGTAATAGCCTATCTAAAAATGGGGAAAGTGTTAATATGTGTTGTTATATAATTATACATATATATTTTTTTAATTCTTGGAGAGAATATAATAAAATCCTACAAATACTAGAGGGATGTCACACAATAATAAACCAAAATGTGGAGTTTGATAAAGTGAACTTAAACTCTTTCGCTTCTCAGGTACATAATTATGGTAGTAGTTTAATCTAATAGACTATTGCAAATAAAAATGAATTGATGAAAAAAATTAAATATTTATAAAGTCAACATAATATTAAAAAATTTATATAATTTAAATTAATAAAATTAATTAGCCCCAAATAATCAATTGTAATTTTATTATGTTTACTTTATTATTATTATTTTTTAAATATAATATATTAAAATATAAAAAACAACAAATAATTTGAAAAAATCATTAAGGAAATAATTTTTCTAAAATTATTTAAACTTATAATTTTCAAAATTCTATATATCCTGATTTTTTAAATTTTATTAAAATTAACTTCAATCAATTTTAGGGAAATGATTGAATGTAAAGAACTTAATGTGCATAAGTTCTATAATAATGATGATGTGGCTGATAATAGAAATAATATAGATGACTATGACACTGAAATAATTGATGGAAATTTGACACTAAAAAAATCTGATCTTGGTAGTCAATCTGTAAATGAAAAATTTTTAAACAAATTCACTGAATCTAAGTGTTTTAAACTGGCTGGTGGAGTTAATCTAGTCAATCTATCACAATCAGTAAAATTTAAAAGCTTAACCAGTTGTGATGGTGATGATGGTCTCTTAATAATTAAAGATAGGTAAACTATAATTTTTACCACGAATATTAATATATTTTGTATTATAATTTAATGCTAAAATTTTAGTCATGAAACCGAGGTAAAAAAGCAAAAATTTAAGAAAAATCTTTCATCTCATTCCCAAGCTAGGTCACATGTTTTGAAGCATGATTTGTGGAAGCGGGTAAGAGCTGCTCGTGAATCTAATTTACAAGATTGTCCTAGTAGTGATGAAGATGAAGAAGAGTTTTTGCTAAATGGTAAATTATTAATAAATTACCTAAACCTATTTTATTTCAAGGGTATATACCACTAAAATTAAAAGTTTTTAAAAATAAAAATTAGCCTTAAACTTATTAGTTATTAATTTTTTAGACACTTTTTTTAGAAAATAAAAAAATCCATAATTAATTTTTATGCCTTTTTAATAATAAGAGAATCTAAAACTGTTATCATTTAAAGATAATAATTGTGTGATGTTTACTTGAAGATTTTTTGATGTGCAATATTATGAAATAATAATTTGTTGATTGGTTTTTTTGTTTGCTTTATCTTTACTCAGATTTTGTACTTAAAATATTTAATTTTAAACCTTATCTATTTAAGGGATATTAGTTATCTTAATATTTTCAATGAATACTTTGAATTAAATACAAGTTATTTTTTTTTCTTAAAAGATGTAAAATAATAATGATCACATTTTGCTTAAGTGTCCTATATCGGGTACTTTAGAATGATGAGAGTAGTAGCAAGAATAAACTGAAAAATAATTCCAAAATTGAAGTTGAACTGAGAGGGGATATGAATACTTTTAGACAATTTATAGTGAATTTAAGTCAAATTCATATGCAAGAAAATGTCATCAGCGCTGTTAATTATTTTTTTATTAACCGACTTTTGTTATTTATTACTAATTATTTCATATAATTACTAGTTTACTGATATATATATACAGGGTGGCCTAGCATTCACTGACAACTAAAATAACTTTTGATCTAGTTAATTTTTATTACTGATTTTTTTTTTTTTAATAACAGTTATATGTTAGGTCTATAATTATATCTCATTAATTTATATTTTTACATTTTATAAAAAATATTAATTATTTTTAAATTTTAAATAAAATGTAAAAAAAAATCTA